ATTCTCATATTAACCACAGAAAAGTTTGTAATTTTTTAATGCAATTTCTAGTTACTGCAATCATGAGAGTTACCTGTTTGCACTCTCTTTCCAGTCACTCCTAACTCTCTGAAATTCAGTTTGGAGGTTGAAAAGGAATGCCTCTCCAGAACTCTGAGACTCTCCCAAAACATGCATTACAGTAAATGCTAAATTTAGTCGGAACTGTTATTACAGATATCATTGAGGTTTTCTGTTGCTTGTCATCTCTCAGAATGTGAAACCATTTGCCTTTGCAGATCTTTTTGTGCTTGGAGAGCAATTGCACACTCCAGACTTGGCTTCTGGGAAATCTCTTGCCACTGTTAGAGCTGAGACTGAGTGCAGATGGTCACCTTGGCTGTGAGATGCTGCTAAACCCTGTATTTGCTTCTATTAATTAAACTTTTTTTTTTTTTTTTTGCTGCCCCGTGTGCAGAAAAGGCTTGACAAATTTCAAGTTTCATAAATATGGATCTGCTATGAAGGTCAAACAAAATTCAAATTAAATCAAACTAAACTCTGAAGCTGGAGAGAAGGCTGATGCACGATTCTTCTGGAGTTGTATTTGCATGTTTTCCCTAGTGAAGGGTGTAAGGTAACAAGGCAGAACTGTAGCATTTTACTAAGTTTTTTACAGTTAATAACACATCAGACCATTACTCCCATTTGGCATCCAGATGGCAACACAGTATATTATGGATGACACTGAGGAAATTGCCATCTTCCTCTAGAAATTGCTCACGCCAAGCTTATGAAGAATGTCATCTATTTCTGCAGTATGAAAAATAAGGGAGAGTGATGGAAAATGACACTGAACCTGGAGCCTTGTGCCAGTGGCTCAAATGCCAGCCCAGCCCAGTGATTGTTGCCTTTTTGGGTGGTGTTACCATGCTGTGCCTCCCAGCACAAGAAATTTGTAGATATTATTAGATTAATTTCACTTAGGTGGCTCAACTGATGAGGCATAGAGGCATTAAGAGCACATAGTAATGGTGCTCTTAAAATAATAAATTAAATAATATATTAAATAATATATAAAATAATAAATTTCATCCTGTTATTACACTTAACAGTGAGGAGGCATGGGGCTTGTGCTGCTCCTGCCCCACATTGCCTGCTCTGGGGGTGAGTGAATTGCTGCTTTTGAACTAGCTTTTATCCAACACACTCACAGGGTGTACTGAACTGCACAGAGCTTGAAAGGAGCAGGTGCTGATGTTTGTTTTAGGAGAGGCAGTGCCAGTAACCTTGGGGGGCTTTGGCTCAGGTGCTCAGTGAGGTGTGTGCTTTGGAGCAGGACTCAAAGCCAGTGTGAACATCTCAGTGTGGCACATCCTTAAATGCAAGACCAGATCAGGACCACGAAGATCTATTTTATCATGTCTTCCTTTATGGTGTCAAAAGCAGCTCCAACTTTAATTGAAGTAATATATGTGAGGGAAATATATTGATCATCTGTCTGATCACCATTGGTTGGCTGTCCTTTGCCAAATGTAGTGTCTGGAAGGTGTAAATCAAAAATAATACTTGCATGGCAAAACTCTCCCTTCCTTTTCCCCCTAGCAGTAAATTATCCCATATTTACTTCCGTTAAATGTGGGTGTTCAGGAAGAAAAAACCCAACTCCTCTGTGTTTCCTGTTTCTTTTTTCAGATGATAACTCTAAAAAAGCACATACTTGGGTGCTCTTTAGAGTGGTACTGTCAGCAAACACTCATCAAACAGGCTCAGCTCCCCACAGGAGCTGGCCCTTTAACAGTTGTTTGGTGTCTTTATTCTTATTAACTCACTAACTGGGGCAAGAAAGATAAATGCAGCATCAGAGCACGGGCTATGCCCGTAATGAAGGGTTAGGCATATATTTTCCATGGCAGCCTGCAGAGTCATCTGGGTCTCTAAGGAGGTTTCATGTTGTCTTCATAATAGATTCTGTCTTTGTTCAGTTTTCTGACTGTCCTCACATTTTTATTTGGAGAAAGGGCTCACATTATATGATCCCTTAAGCCATGTTGTGAATTCCTGCCCCGTGGGATGCCTCGAGCCTCAACGTTTGCGTCCTTTGGTGACGGAGGTTGCTGCCACAAAAGGCTCTCTAGGAGACAGGGACCTTGAGAAAAAAAATCTGGCATCAACAACTATGTTGTGACCTTTTCATTGTTGGAGTGCCTGGCTGTTGCTCTGCTTTATTGGCCTGAATGTTTTCCAAAGGGGGAATATGGAAGGTGGCAGCACAGGGATTATTCTTAAATGTTGTAGCATTGTTTGGGATGGGTGCAAAGAAGGTGGAGAGGAATATGTGAGAGGCAATTGCTGAAAGCAGAAGAGACGTGTAGGTGAAATTTCAGGGGAAATTCTCTGAAGTTTGGGGAAAAGAACTGATCTGAAAGGAAGAAAGAAAGAAACATCAAAAAAGAAGTAGCTAGTAAGCTTAACTTTAAAATAAGTTATTTTAAATTAGGCAAGCTTTTTGCTGTGATCAATGGTTTTACAATATCATTTGCAGCAAATGCAATTTTGAAACACAAAACTAAAGCTCCAGTTTTTAATTTTGTAGATCTTGTGTTTAGACAGAAATATAGTTTCTACAGAGTACAGCTTGAGAAAGCTGGCTGATGGCATCAGTAAGCAAGTGACATATGTTTTTTGGTGATAATTCCCCAGTGTCTTGCTATCCCTCCTCTTCATGTCTATTGGAGGCTCAGGAATTCCTTGCAGGCCTTTTTAAAATTAAACTGTTTTTAAGAACCATGGGCTAACAGATGGAGAAGAACTGTCACCAACTAGTCAAAGTAAACATAGTTGCAAAGAGTTTTCATCAATAACTCTGCAGAATTATGCAACTCAGTAATTTTGCAGTTAAACTTTTGGGGAATTGTATAAATCTATGGATGTACCTGAGCAGTCTTCCTGTGTTCCAGTTGGGTGCTCCAGTTCTTCTTGGTAATTTTGTACAAAGTTTCACCTACATGAAGAGCACAAGGGTTTGGAGCAAATAAAAGGGTCTGTTTGCACATGCAGGTGCCTACAGAAGAGCTGCTCTGCCCCTGCTCTGCTGGCAGCCCTGGGCTGTCTGTGTCTCTGGGCATGCCTTTGTGTCCAGGTGAGTGGTGACACTGGTGACAGGCTTCAGCTGGTCTTGTTCCCAGGATCAAGCAACTTCAAAGAGGGTTTCATGGGCAGAGAGAGAGGATTGTACTGAACCAATGTACTGAACCAATTTTCATTGGTCCAACGATGCAAGGCACTTCCTCACAAGTCTGTGAAAGTCCTGCATGAGAAGGTGTTGCTAAAATCTGACACGTTGTCTTTAGTTTTTCAACCCCCAAATTTCCAGAGCTGAATGGGGAGAGCAGATATCACATGGAGCTGAGAAAGTTGTGAAGTAAATATTCCCTAGAGTTAGCTAGAAAATCCAGAGACTTGCTCTGGGTCCTGCTTTAGCCTATGGTTGATGTGCTCTTGTTGCCTGCTCGGTAATTTGTCGGGAACGGGGAAGAAGAATCCAGACTTGGCAGGCTGGTGCTGCAGACAGATTTTGTCAGATGAAATCCCAGCAGACGTTAGCCCAACATCAACAGCTCCTGAGCTATCGCATGGGAATGCACAGGGAGATAAAACCAACATCCTAAGGGCAGGATCCTCTATTTTAAGGTGCAGAGAGGGCAATCTGGCTAATGTAATTTTTTCCTTTCTTTCTGTAGTCGTTCAGAGAAATGATGGAAAATGCTGGTTCCAAAGACAGATGCAATCCTGTCTTTTCTCGAATGCTCATCTACATCTAAAGTTGCTTAACTTCTCTCTCTTGCCTTTTCTTACATGTGAAGAGAAGTTAATCCTATCTGCCTTTACCTCAGAGGGATTGTGAGGGCAGAGTTTGGAAAAGAATTTGCTGTCTATGCAAAGAATCCACAAGTGACTGCAGGGAAAAAAACCCCAGACCTACGTTGGGAAACTCCAGCACCAGTCCAGGGCTTTCTGGAAGTGGAGTGTTCTGTTACATAAACATCCTTGAAGCTTTGCAGAAGGGGTGACATTCACATGTGGGCCCTGACTAATTGGGCTTTGTGTGTGAGGAATGGGGATGGAGAGGATAAGGAAATGAAATCCCTAAGGTGCAAGCTGGGCCTCCTTCTTCCCATGGCCTGGGCTGTTGCTTACGTGTTGGAAGGGGGTCTCAGAGCCTCCTGTGCCACTGCTCTGAGGACTGGGAACTCTGTGGGCCCTGCAGCCCAGGCTGCACCCGCACTCCCCAGTGGGCTGCGAGGTGCCTGCAGCAGCGCCTCAGAGAGCTTCCCCCTGCCCAGCCACTGCTGAGGCCCCTTTGCGTTAAATCATCATTAACTCAGTGGCCCTGCCTCTATTTAGGCACTATATCCTGCACACAGCATTAACTCTTAGCTGCTTCTAGGGAGGCAAAATGCAGCTGCAAACCTCAGGAGCTCCGAGTTGCTCCCTGGAGGAGTCTGCACCCTTCCAGTGATGCCCTGGAGAACATAGATCCCACAGTTGCTGCTTTGATGCCCAAAATTAAGCAGCACCCGCACCCATCCATCCAAAACTCACTCCAGACTCAGGGCCCAGCTCTCCCCAGCCCCGCATCTTGTGGCAAAGTGGGGCTGCAGTGTGAGTTGAAAGTCACCACTTTGTTCTGCACACGCTTTCCAAAGCTTTGTCACTCGTCCTGACCAAACAAAATAACTTGTTTCCTTCTCTGTCTCTTTAGAGAAGTCTCTGTATAGCAGACATGTAAACAACTTGTAGTGTCTGACATAAAATTCACAAGTATATTTTTCTATATGTTATGACAAACACAGAATAACAATCTGCAGGTTTTCCATTCTGTGCAGCAGCTCTCAGGGTAAGAGGTCAGATTTAGCAATTGGGATGTTAAAGGAGCAGATTCACAGGCTGAAAGAGCCAGTGTGGAACTGGTTAGGAAAGAGTAAAATCTGAATTCCCAACTCTTTTTCTTTTCACAGCTGTTAAGAGTTCAGTGGGTTGAACTGCAATCCTTCAAGTTCATCTGTTGACTCCAACACAAAACTATTATAAACTGTGCCTCTAAAACACGTGATGAAACATTTCTTGAGAGCTATTTATTCCAACTGCAGCAGAGGAAAGTTTTCAGAACACCCGGCATTTGGTAGAGGAAAGGTCTCTTGAGCTTTGCTACAGGAGGAATTATTTGCATACTGGCGTAAGTTGCTTTTTGATTATTTTTTTTTCCTGCATCACCGAACAAAATAATACTGCTAACTTTCCCCCACCGTGGAAACATGATCAAATAGCACAAAACTATGTTTCAGTGCCTAGCAGAGAATTTCTATATATTTTTCTTCTTTTAATCATATGGATTGGGGTTTTATAATTCAACATTGAATTTGATGTTTTGTGTTTTGTTTCCTTTCATGTTTTCTGTATCTGAATGAGTTCATTCACTTCCAATACTAATACAGAAGTGTAATAGACTGGTAGATTGAATCAGGTGTGGGGTTTGCAAGCTTACAATTACAAGGAATAAGAGAGAGTTTGGGGTAACCTTTTCCAGGTGTTTCTTTTACACTTTTGCTCTGAAGTTTGATCTTACACATCCATTTACATTCTCCTCTAGGCTTTAGCTCTGGTAAAGCCCTTTCCATGCTGAAGATGGACCATGCAAATGTGACCCAAGCTATGCTTGATGCTGAATCCCCCAGCACAGAGAAGAACAACAGCAACGAGTACTTTTACATCCTGATTGTCATGTCCTTCTACGGGATCTTCCTGATAGGAATAATGCTTGGCTACATGAAATCCAAAAGAAAGGAGAAGTCATCCCATTTGCTTCTGCTCTACAAAGATGAGGAGCGGGAGTGGGGGGAGGCCGCGAAGCCTGTGCCGACGGCGGCGGGGCTGAGGGCCGTGCAGCTCCCCATGATGCTGAGCATGCTGCAGGAGAGCGTGGTGCCCTCCCTGTCCTGTGCCATCTGCTCCATGGAGGGCAGCAGCGTCAGCTCCGAGTCCTCCTCCCCAGACGTGCACCTCACCATCCAGGAGGAAGCGCTGGATGCTGAGCTGGGGGAAGTGTCAGAAACGCCCCTCAATGAGAGCAGCGAGGGCTCTGTGGAAAACCTCCAGAGGAACTCCTAGCACTTGCAGGGCTCCCCTGGTCAGCGCCAAAGCGTGAGTGGAGCTCCCACCCAGAACTCGTGGCTCTGCTTTTCTGCTCTCCAATGAACTCTGAACAGGTATCTGTGCTCCTGGGCCCAAGGTGTTCCTGAGAGCTGGCAGGACAAGGAAGCAGTGGGACCTGACTTCAAAGTGTGACTTGCACATAAAAGGGTTGCTTAATTTTAATTTTTCCATTATTATTTCTTACTATGAAAGCTAAGAACATGGTGAATATATATGTATTTTCTAACGAGGTAAATATTACTGGCATGTCTCTGCATATTTCAGAATTCTGTAAATATCTGGGAAATGTTTGGGGAAGTTACCCTCATGCAATTGCCTGGTTCTTAAAGATGATGGGTAATGCTCATTCACACAAAGCTGTGATGGACTAGAAATACTCTTACTGTGTTTTTCTTATGACAAGCCACAGCCAGCAGCACATTTGCTCAAAGAGGCCTCAAAACCTGAAAATTTGTTGATGCTGTACTTGGAGGGAGATTGCAGCATGGCTGGAGACTGGCTTTAGGTACAGGAAGAGTGAAAGACAAGGCAGAAAAAAGGAGGCATTGAGTTCCTGTGCAGTTTGCAGAGCCTGGCTCCAGACCCATGACACTCCTCTGTGTTTCTGCTGAAGTTATTCATGCACTGGCTGGGTCAGGTTCACCACCTTCTACTGCAATCCAGCCTGTGACTCAGTTACTAACAGGAAAGGTGGTTTTGTTTTTTGCTTTTGTATTTTTAAAGATGTGTACGTTTGGTCACTAAAGGCAAAGATCTGTAAGTTAATGGAGAGGTTAAAAGATCTTTGTTACAGGCTGTGAGATGCAGAAAGGCTCCAACAGATGCTGCTCTGTTACGCCCCCTTGAAGAAGAGGTGGAATTCTGGATGGAATTTAACCTAGCAAGGGTGAATTCCTGCCCCACTGAAGTCAGCAGCTGAGTCAGGGACCAGCACAAGGTTTTGTGCTTCTCTGTTGGAGTAAACTTCTCAGTTTGAGGTCAGTAAAATTGTACCCATTTACATCATTAAAGAATCTAGACTTTCTGCTCTGTTTAAGCCAGTGTAGGTAAGCATTGTGTTACATCTTTTTTTTTTAATCAGCTCTCATGTGACACATGCATTTCTATAAAGCTGTTAGTAACTAGTTTTAAAACCACCACAGACTTCCCCCTCCCCCAGTTTAATGGTACTGTGACATTTTTAAAATGCTTATGAAATTTGTTGCTAAATTATTGCACTTTTACAAGAAGTAAAACTTAATACAAAGAAGAAAATTAATATTTCAATCATACCTTATATTTTATAATAACTTATTACAGTGTTTTGATTAGTTTCGAAGCATGAGGGCTGAAGAGCCTGAGTCTAAAGCATTGCACAGCAAAATATTTGCAAAATGTCTCCACATATTTCCTGCACTAAAATAGCTCTGTGATTTATCCACTGGCATTAGAGCTTGAGAGACAGCTCGAAAACATGAATGCAGAAGGGCAGAGATGAACTGCAGCCAGAGTGTGCAGTGCTGCTGGGGCTGGGGAGGGCTCAGAGGGTTAATGGATGCAGGATCAGAGATCTCTGTCTGTCTGTCTGTCTGTCTGTCTGAGCACAGCAGAACAAAGGCTCCATTGTGCTCCAAAGGGCTGATGGGGCAGACTGAAGGCAGCGGGAGTTTTTCCATCAGCTTCACTGAACTTTGGATCAGACCATATAAAGCTTTTTGGTAGATTTACTCTAAAAGGGGCTGTTTTAAGTTTGAAAGGAGCCAAATTAAGTTTGGCACTTTGCCTGGAATCACTTGAATCCTGAAACTTTCCAAATGAGACTGACATGTACAAGTTGTCACATTTTCCATTGCTTTCTCCTTCGTCCTTTACTTTTGGTATAAATGTATTTGTATCTGTAAAAAACTGATGTATATAATTCCTAACATTGAGTTGTATATAATTGTCTCATGTATTTAAAGTTTATTGTTTCTACTGGCACTAATTTTATTTAAATAAAGAAACACATTTCCTGGAAAAATCTCCATGTTTGTTCACTACGTCAAATAGATTTCCAGTAACAAGACTGGGCACAATTCCTGCAGGATCCTGCTCTTAGCCTCTTTTTGAAATGATTCCTTGAGCTGTGCAGTCCTGCAGCATTCTGGGCTGGCTGCAGGGCTGGGCCAGGTGTTCCCAATCCACCTTGGGTCCCTGTTGACAGCATGCTCAGGGTGTCAGTGTGTGCCAGCAGGGCCACAGGGATCCCCTTCTGCCAAGACCTGGGTGCTGGGGAGGCTGCAAAACTGCTATGGAAACTTGTGTCGCTTATTCAGCCTCTGGAGATGTCTGCATTTGGAGTTTCAGAGTTAGATTTGCAGTGTAGCAAATTGAGCGGGCTGGGGTTGAGGTTATGGGCAAGTATCTGACACAGATCTCTGATCCCACTGGATTTCCACTGGCTTTGTCACAAGCTTTGGCCCTGGGTCTCACTGCTGCTCTGTCATTCCCAGTATTACACAGAGAGGAGGTTTTCAGAATCTGCCTCCCTAAGAAAGGGATAAATATTTAGAGGCAACTTTGAGCTTCCCTAAATCTGTTGATTTACAGGTACAGATCCACCAGCACTGGTTAAGACCTTCTTGCATGGGGTAGTTTGAGGTTGTCAAAATTGCTAAAAAGTTACATCTGCTCACTTTCCCACAAATCAGGCTCCCTATTAAATAATTCTGGGGCCTGGTCCCAAGCTCCTGTGGACCTGAAGCTGCCCAGAGCAAGGCTGTGTTTGCCTGCAGCCCTGCCCTGTCCTGGGACAGCAGGTCAGTCCCAAACATCTCCCATTTACCCACTGCTGCCTCGGCCTTCTGGGCTTCCATTGCCACAGCAATGAATCAAGGGACTTCTGACAGCCCTGGAGATAAGGAGGAAAACCAGAACCAACTGTAAACTACAGCTCTGCTGCATGGAGCAAAAAGGTAACTTTTTCCAGCAGTTTCTTGTGTTTCAGTATTTGCCTTTGTCCTAAGGGGTTTGTCTTTGTCCAAATCAGTATTTTGATGACATTAGGGGGGGAAAAAAATCTATTTTTGTTATAAAAGTTGCCTGTGCAAGTGAATGCAATGATGTCTTGAAGACAGCCCAGTGACCCTAGACTGCCAGGTAGCTATTATTCCAAAGTAAAAGTGTTGTTAATCTTCAAAAGCTACAGACAGAAGGAAAAAAATTGCTCCCATTAATCTTGTTTCAAAATTCTTTTGACTACTAAGGAGTAAAAGGTAATAATATTGTTTTTTCCAAAATGAATGACATTTCCAGTGTGCCTCAGTAACTGAGTTAAGTTAGATTCAGAGCTAATAGATCTTGGCTTGAAGGCCATGATAATTGACTGTAATTTGACTGAATGGAGGTGATTTTTTTAACTAATGCATTCTTCTTTAAAAGAACACAGCAATTAGGCTCCTGTTTCTTGGCAGTGCCATACCTCATACATTTGCTGCAGTAGTTAACACACATCCCCTTGGAGAGAAAAGGAGAAGATGACCACGTGTGGCTGTGTCCATGGGCTGGCTGCAGGACCTATTGTGAATAAAAATGCTCAGAGATGCTCAAAGTGAGCAGCACAGAATAGTTGGATTTGCCAGGTGCAATTGTGGCAAAGCTGGGCCATGGTCTCCCTGTGTGTGTTGACTTACCATGGTCACGTTATAATCTTTTAGAACTTGTCCTAGTGGGAAGATGACTTCCCCCTGAGTTAACAGTTGGATCTAAGAGGTAAAAAAGTTGGTAAAATTGTTTAGGCTATTGGTTTCCATGCACTGATTATATTTGCCTCTGTGTATTTGGTTGATTTACTTCTGTATTTTTTCAATTTTCACACATCTCTGCAAGTCCTGCTGTCTACAGCCAAAAATAGCTGCACTTTCTTGGTGCTTTGACACTTCTGTAACCAGATCAACCAGGCAAGAAAATGGAAAATAATCAAAAAATCAATGTGCACCACGTTTTCAAAGTTTAATTTGGTTTGGGTTGGGTAGGGTTCTAGTTTGTGTTAGGTCAGGTTAGACTGAAGCTTTTGCCATACAAATAAGTGATTAAAAAGGATAATAAAGGCAATTGGATGATGCATTACAGACTGTGTTCCCAGCTCTGTCCCTCAGTAATCTCTTCAACTGGCCCATGCTTCTCTTGATTACTTTATGAAGCTACTTATATTACTGTCTGTGGATATATGAGATGTTTCTGATAGATATCAAAGGCTTGTGAATTTTACATGAAAGATATGGTAAAAATACAAAACCCATGCCCACTTAGGAACAACAAATGTTTTTTGCCCTCCTTAACACTGCTAGATGCAACAGTAGCCACTGACAACAAATGCTAATTTCTAGTACGTGGAATTTTCAGCTCATCCCTCCTCAGGAGCTGTGTAACAGGATTTTGTGCTTTGTTGAGAGCTGGAGAGCAGGGCAGTAGTTCTGGGATATGGGAGATTAAATTCAGTTCTCCCTTCAGCTCGAGGTTCACTGTGGCACTCTGGAAAATTACTTGCTTTGGCCAAGACTCCCTTTTATAAACTTTAAAGGAGAGCAATAGCACACCTTCCCTGCCTAAAGCTGATGGGAAGATAACTACACTGAGAATTTCAGAGCGCTGAGCTCTGATGGAAAGTGAGAAAAGGCTGAAGAGTTGTTTGTCCTTAGAGGAGGAACCAATTAAAGAATTTCCTCTGGTGTGAACTCCAGCTGTTTGGACGGAACTATCTAATATACAAGGCCCTACATCTTACCTATGAGTGCTGGTCCTGGAGCAGGGTGCTGTGGGGCTGGTCCCCAGCCTAGCCCTCCCTGGGACAGCTGTGTCTCATCCCAGCAATGAAAACATCAACTAAACACTGCAGGTGAGAGGACGTGAGACAGACAAGTGGTTTTGAATTCCACCCCAGCCAATGCACAAAAGCTCACTCTTTCCTCTCCTCAGGAGGAAATATAAACTGTGTACCTCTAAAGATGTACATCCCCCTTCTCCTTCCCCAGGTCAGGATAAACTGATTGAACAAGGTTTCCTGTAGGAGAAGAGAGGGGAAGAGAAAAACCAATCCTGCTCCTATTTTTCAACAATAGGTATGGAGTGACACTGCAGCACACAGGCTGCCCTTGAACACAGCACAGGACCCCATGGTGCCTCTTTCCAGGCCTTAACAGCAGAGCCATCCCATTGTTTTCCCTACAAACACCTCATGCTACAAAGGGACCCATTTCAGCTGCCGCTGAGTGTCAGTGATTGCTCCCCAGCCTGCAAGCCCTGTGCTGTGCCTGTATTGGCAAACAGGGAACACTCCTGGCTGAAATACAGAGCAGTGCTGGCTCTGCTGAAAGCCCAAGCACCACTGGGACATTTCTCCAGGTCTGACTTTCCTCACTCATCACCGCATGAGAGCGCTGCGGAAATTTGGGGGATGTGCATGGAGGGCATATGGGTTAATTTTCATCAGCTGCACAGGATTTACACCAAAAGGATGCTGTTTACACCAAAAGGATGCTGTTTACACCGAAAGGATGCTGTTTACATCAAAGGATGCTGTTGGCTTTGGTTGGAAGGGTGAGTGTTATCTAAGAAATGACCCTGAGGCCAGTGGGGATGTGGTGGTAGCACCTACCCATGTTTACTGCAAACAGCTCCTTGTGCCCCCACTGGAGGAAACAGCAGCAGCAGCCCTGTCGCATTCTGTTTCTCAGGGTCTATCTGCTCAGTGTTAAGCATAATTAACTTCAGTCATATCTAATTAGCTGCTCTTTGGCCAGGAGGTGTATCTCAGATGGATGCTCACTATAAAGATTTTTTTTCTCCTGTATTCATCAAGAATTCAAGAGCAGATTGAAATAATCATGCAGCTCACTTCTGCAGAGAGGTGCAAATGCCTGCTGAAAGGGCTGACCTTCACCATGCTGCAGTGGCAAGCAAAATGCTGCCTTAGAGGTGGCTGCTCAAGGCTTTTATGGCTTCAGGTACTTTACTTACTGATTGTGTAGGCATTTACACAGTGCATTATGCATTAGTTTCATTACAAAATTAATGAAGAGCATTCGATAGATCCCAGAATTTCTTCTGTCAGTAAAAAGAGTTTTTTCCACAACTTTTCTTCCATGACCTTTAGTTTGTCATGTGAAGTGCTATCATCAGGAACAGCAAGAACATTATATTCATGTGGAAAGAAGAGTACAAAACATTCATATAGAATAGACAGTACTTTGGGACTAAAAGTGTCCTGCATAGGAATATTTGTGAGATACATGTGTGCCAGGGAAATATCAGAAACCCAGGAGCTGAGGGTAATAGCACTAGACTTTTTGAGTCCTTTATTTATTTATGATGTCTAGACAGACAATGATTTCCCCTCATTTTTCTGTTGAGAGCTGTGTCAGTTTGAACTGGGAGAGCCCAATAATTGCACTTATAGCTGTATGTGTGTTCTTGATGTGCCTATTTTTTCTCCCTTTTCTACCATTTTTCTAAAGGACCATAGCCCAGAGAAATTATTTTTTCAGGCCTATCCTTGCCTTCTTTTCCTTTACTGCATGAAAGACATAGCTTAAGGCACTTAAGTCAGGTTGAACCTGATTTTTTTCTATTCCTTGGCACTCTTTAATGCTGACTGCTGCCATCTCTTTTGAGCAGTGTAGTACGTGCTTCCCTACCAGCTCCACACTCTGACATATGGTTACCATCAACTTTATAGGGGCCTGCAAGCACAAGGGATTGTGCTCCTGTTATAAAGTGGGGCACAGAGTTTGTAACTCCTGCTGTGGGTCACCAGTTCAAATGCAAGCCCAGGACAGGACTGGCCAGCCTTGGTGTGGGGACTTGGTGGCTTTTGTGAGGCTGGTTCCCTCAGCACAATGAAGGAAGTTGTTTGAAGACAAAGACGAGATATTTATGCTTCATTCTGCACAAGCAGCAGCAGCTCTGTAAACTGGGTGATCTGAGGTAGCTGCTGGTGGGGAATGGTGGAGCCTTCTCCCCACGACATCCAA